TTTGAGCAACCTGGTCTAGTGGAAGGTGTCCCTGCTGCTGGCAGGGGGGTTGGGACTGGATGAGCTTTAAGGTCCCTTCCAACCCAAACCATTCCATGATTCTATGAAATAACCCAGGTTGTGCTTCCTTGCTGTCATCTTCAGAGGACAGCAAGCAGTAGACCACCAGTCCTCTTTTCTGCTTTGTCTACATGGTCTGAGATAAACCAGAACTAGAAGATGGTGAGGTTTATATGCCAGCATGATAACACACCTCAGCTCACCCATCCTTTGTAGAACCACTTCATCAGCTTGTCCGAGCTTTTGTCCTCTCCAATCACTGGGCAATAATTATGAATTACAGTAATCTTGATTAAAATAATCAACTGAGATTGAGGGGCTGCTGACCTCAGGCATGGCCTCTGTGTCTCGGTTGCCTTTACTCACAGCCTCTGCCTAGTGGCTGCCTTAAATTTGGAACAGCAATTTAGAAAGGCTCAGGTTTGACATGAGATATCCTACCCTTGGGTGACTCCTCCACACGAAAACAAGCTCCTGCCTGAAGTCCTCCCCTTGCAACACATCAACCCTTCGCAGTGTTATTTAGGTTAAAACTCACCTGTTTGCTCACATCTCGGGTTTTGGTTTATCAGAGAATTGTTATCTCCTAGACCCCAGTTTTATCTGAGAGATAAGCCCCAATTTCTCCCCGTGTTGGTGTTCAGAGCAAGAATGATTTGCCAGTCATGAAGGGCATCAAACTTGACCAAGAAAAGCTGTTGTTTATAGACTCCTTTCATTGAAAGACCAAGAGTTTTACTGCTGCCCTCCCCTTGGGGTCATGCAGGAAAGTTCTCTTGGGAATGAATGACTTTGGAAACAGTTCCTTAAGGAGAAGACACACACACTGATAAACAAATACAATTAGTTTCAGCAAGTTAAGTGTAGGCTTGAGTGTTTTACCTACTTCTTTTGACATATATAAAGACATTTTTGTGTGTATATGTGTATACATATATATTTATCTCTTGGAATATAGGATTTATTTATTAGAATCACAGAGAATTAAAAAGAACCAGTGTAAGAAATGGAGATTGAAGGATTAGGAAATAGCTCAAGCTTTGGAGAAGTGTTGCAAATGCTGTTGGAGAGGGAGGGAGGGAGAGAAGGGGAGGGAAAACCATTGAGAAACTCATCTGCTGTAATTTGGTTTAACATCATCTGGGATGTCCTGTCGTTTAAAAAACCCAAAGGGTTGGATCTAGGCATGTGTGAGAGCCCAAGCCAGGTTTAGGGGGGAAAACTTCTCTTTTACTGCTCTTAAAAGAACAAAAGGGTATTGGTATCTGTAAGCAGGTCTAAGGAATCTTCCCTATCCATCCACAGACAATAAATACCTTCCTTCAGGGAGTTGATATCTGGTATTGGTGAGTTTTCTATCAAAGCAAAAGCATAACTCTGGCACTACTTTCATCCATTTGGCTTTTCTGTTCGTTCCAGAATTGCTTTGTGGATCCTGACCATCCATGTTCAAACAAATTATAAATGATTGATTAAAAACTAGTTTCACCTTCTCACTTTGGAGTGGGGTTTTAGAAAGACTCCAAGACATCAACGTGGTGAGATGAAGCTTTCTCCTTTTATCACTTTTTAGAATATATTTTCTTTAATTAATTTATTAATTAATTTATGTCATTTTATTTATGCTTAAATTAACTCTTCAGAACATGCCCCGAGAGTGACTGCTCTAAACAAACTCCACATTTGCCACGTTGCTGTGTCAGCCCATCACTCTGGAGGAAACCATGAGGTTTTTTTCCAGAAAAATTCATCTCACCCTGATGTGAGTGTTTAAAATAGATCAGATGAGTCAAAACCCCCAAATGCATCCTTGTCTCTACAAGAGGAACCAATGGTGACTAATTCAAATGTGAAAAGCTACAATTAGATAGGATGATTTTTTGGACCGAGATGACTCAACCCCTGAAACCTGGAAGCAGAAATTATTAATAATAAATTATAAGAAATTAATATTTCCTGAGATGGGAAATGAACTTTGCCTGGATGGAGACACATAAGTAGGAGAGGAGGGGGTGGGGAATTTTGGCCAACATTGAGAGTCTTGGAGTCATCAAATATGTTGAGCACATCTGAATATAACATATGGTCAGAAACACGGAGGCATTTTGTGTTGTCAACACCAGATGACATCCTGGGAAAAGCCAGGACTGCTCAGAAAATGTCTTGAAAGGCTGTTCCTGGCCAAGTTGAGTGACTGCTTGTCACAGAGAATGACTCCACCCTGCTCTTAGGCAAAGGAGCATGTCATCATGGTGGCTCCAGACTGGTAGATGTCCACAGGAGAGACCCATCCAGGAAAGCAAGATGCCCTGCATGAAATATATATGAAACATGAGGACAAGGACATGCTGTTCCCCATAAAGACTATTTTCAGACAAACCAGAGGAAATAATAAATCAGATTTATTGTACTAAAGCAAAACCTTGGGCAACTACTTAAGAAATTTGGAACCAAAGTTATGAAAGACATTGTCCCTCTCCAACATCTAGTCTTTATTTAGCTCGTCTCCTTCTGCTCTGAGCCACCTCTTTCAGGCCACAGAATTTAACATTGTTTTAACATCGAGTAAATCTTTTTTTGGCAAAAAATATCAACTCTGCATGTTCTAGAGCTGCTTTTAAGTTCATCTTCTCCAGAAGTTTCAATCACGATGTATGTGGTGGTAGGAGTGTCTTTTTTGGCAAAAAATATCAACTCTGCATGTTCAAAGTTCAAAGTATCAATTCTGCTGCTTCTAAGTTCAATTTCTCCAGAAGTTTCAATCACAATGTACATGGTGGTAGGAGAGTCAGTCTTTCCTGCCTTCTTTCCTTCTTTCAGACATTGTAAGTACAGGTAATTTATTTTTCAAGGGACCTCAACATGGAATTAATTCATAGTTCAAACTCTGCAGTGTTCAGCACCAGGTAGAGCATGTAGATCTCACCAGATGCACTGAAATGTACAGTGTCCTTCTTCTGTCAGGTGTCAGCTTTAGTTCTTCTGCTCACTCCACTGTGTTTAGTGGTATCTGCTTTGGTCTGGTTAGAGCAGGACCTGTGAGAATACACACAGGGAAGGAACTTGTTTGTAGCTCTTCTGAGAGTGCTCCTCACCTCCTGGTTCCTCAGGCTGTAGATGAAAGGGTTGAGCATGGGGGTCACCACTGTGTAGAAGATAGAAGCAGTTTTCCCTTGGTCTTCTGCCTGCCTGGAAAAGGGATGGAAATACAAGAAAGCTGCAGAGCCATAGAAGAGGGCAACAGCCATGAGGTGGGAAGTGCAGGTGGAGAAGGCTTTGTGCCTGCCCTCCACAGAACGAAAGCTCCAGGTGGTGAGCAGGATGCAGGTGTAGGAGACAACAATGACCAACAATGATATTGTTGTGATGAAGCCAACACACACGAACAAAACCATCTTGTTGAGCCAGGTGTCAGAGCATGAAAGTAGCAGGAGTGGTGGGATTTCACAGTAGAAATGGTTGACAAGGTTTGGGCCACAGAAAGAGAGTTGGAGGAGAGCACTGGTGTGCACGAGGGCGTTCAGGATCCCAGCAGTGTAGGATCCCACCACCAACTGGACACAGAACTCATGGGAAATAGTAGTTAAGTAGTGCAGAGGCTCACGGATGGCCACGTAGCGATCATATGCCATGACAGCCAGAAGGACAGCTTCCGTGGTGCCAAATATTGCAAAGAAGAAAAACTGTGTGATGCAGCCACTGAAAGAAATGATATTTCTCTCTGCAAGGAGGCCCGACAGGAGCTTCGGTGTGATGGATGAAGAAGAGCAGATGTCCAGAAAAGAGAGGTGGCTGAGGAAAAAGTACATGGGTACATGAAGTTGAGGGTTAGTCTTGATGAGGAAGATCATCCCCAGGTTCCCCACCAACGTGGTGATGTACGTGAGTAAAAAAATCACGAAGAGCAGCTCCTGCAGGTTGGTGAAGCCCAAGAGGACAAACTCAGTCACGCTCGAGCAGTTTCCCCCAGCCATTCTCCTGGCCCCAGCACAGAGGAGACAAAGAATCATAGAATCATAGAACAGTTTGGGTTGGAAGGGACCTTAAAGATCATCCAGTTCCAACCCCCAGGAAGAGGTGAAATAATTACCCTGAGCTCACAGGAATATGCAATGCCTGAGGCTGATGCAGGGTTTGGTATTTCCTGGATGAAGTTTCTCCACTTATTTGGAGAAAAAATACAATAGTTGTCCCCAGTGGACAGGTTGAAGATCCCAAGTAATATATTGAGAAATAATATCTTGAGAAAATAATGACCAATAAATCATAATATGGAAAAAAATCTTAAAGCTTAAATCTTAAAGCTCTGGCTGGCACATTATGGAAAGAATTGGTCTTGCAAATCGTATCTTCTCATGAACATCCAAATTCTTTCCAATCTATGTCTGGGAGGATTTCCTTCCTTTTGCTCCAGTGTTCTTTATTTAGGGGGAAGTAAATATGATGATGTTTTGCCTTAATCTGCCACGTTCATTACTGTGGCACTAAATAGGTAACAGATCACGTTGGAGTGATTTTCTGACTCTGTAGGGAGATATTTGGGTCAATTAAAATGAAACGAGCGTACCTGGTTACAATTTCATGTATGTGGAGCTTCAAGAGAAAAAAACCTTCTTCTGAACTGAATTCTCCTTGCACACCATCTTCCTTGTGCCTCTTGGGTCTGCTAATACCAGGAATTTTTATCCCAAATTGGAGGTTTAGGATTCAGATGTACTGGAGCAAGCAGGTTTTTTTTTCCCTTCAGGAAGGAATTTAATAACTTTAGTATTGTTTCATGGAGAGGGTGGACACACCAGTGAAGGAAACTCTTCTCCATTCAGCAAACAATTATCTCAAAATCTCTCCAAATTTCACCTTCCCTCTGATTAATGGTGTTTTGAGTCATTCTCAGGAAGAGACTCACTGGTCCTTGAGCTGAAGATACAACACGAGCTCCATCAGTCTTTCCAAAACCAGGACAGTTTCCATATCACATCCTCTAACGTGGCTGGAGGATTTAAGTTTTACTCCATACCCAGAGGACAAATTACCAAAGGGTCTCTGGGGCACCTGCAAACAGAGTGAACCTTCCCCAAAGAGCCTGGGATAAACACTGAGGTTTCTCTCCAAGGTTTTGGGATGGGATCCCCAAGGCAGGTCAGAAATGATGCCTGCAGAGCCTGAGCAATTCGACGTGTGTACACAGCTGGGTGATGAGAAGAGGAACTCAAGGTGATGCTGTTTTGTTGAAGACTCAAATCTGAAAGATTTTTTTTTTTCTTCTCCAGGAATATGGGAGAAAAAAAAAAAAAAGGTAATTCTTCAGTAAGGGATTAATTTAAGGAAATTATTGCTTTACATTTGCAGTCACCAGTTAGATTCATTTCCTTTCGTACGACATATTTCCATAGAGCAGGTGTGGATGTACTAGAGAAAAAGAGGATCAAAATTCAGATTTCAATTTCCCATTGTGTCACCATTTTCTTTTTTTTTTGAGGTAACTCAAAACTTTCCATTTACACTTGAACACTTTTTTTGCACCATTGCTTCCCAGGAGGTAGAATCTCAGAGCAGATACTATAAGCAGCATTTACAGGGATGCAGCTCTCTGAAAGCCTTTCTCCAAGAGCAAGATGCATCACCCATGCATGTGTTGGGCCACTGAACTCAAACTTTGGTAGCTCTCTTCTAGATATTTGCAATTCAGGGCATGAATTTCAAAATTTCAATCAGTATTTCTTCTCTTCTTCTTTTCTTCTCCTTTTCTTCTTCTCCTTTTCTTCTTCTCTCCTCCTCCTCTTCTCCCCCTCCTTCTCTTCCTCCTTCTCTTCTTTTCTTCTTCTCTTCTTCTCCTTTTCTTCTCCTTCACTTCTTCTCTTCTTC